CCGTTCTTTAACTTTTTGTATTTTGTATTTTTTAGGGGAAAATGACACCCCCCCCCCTCCCCTAAATAACTACTCGTAACACCTCATGAATGATTCGTGTATTCATATTAGCCTTTAAATATTTTAAAAGTGACAATTTTTCTTCCTGATATGTTAAATAGACATGTTTACCCTTAAAATAAATATTTCATTTGTTTTTCTTCTACAAAAAAAAAAAAAAATCAATTTCTTTCCGGGTGTGTTTGGAAACCAGGAAAATGTCTTATGAAAAAATAAGTCATTTTCTAAAAAATATTTTCCTTTTCAGTGTTTGGTTGCAATATGGAAAACTGTCTTGATGTGTTTGGTTCATTTTATGAAAAATGAGTAGAATTGTATAATTAAACATTTTACTTGTTTTATTTAAATTATAAAATATTTATTATAATATTAAAAATAATGTTATTTATTAAAAAAAAAACCTTTGCAAAAACCAGACCAAGGTTGTGATTGTCAATGTAGTTGTGGTATGTGAAAAATGACTTCCGCCAAATTTTGGTGGAAGTCATTTTCCTCAAAAACAGTTTTCCTTTTTGATTAGAAAATAATTTTCATTGATTTTGATTTTTTAGGCTCTTCCAAATACGGAAAATTGAAAAATAATTTTCAAAAATTATTTTTTCAAGTTTTTATACACACCCTTATTTGAAAAAAATAATAAAGACATTTGGAGAAAATATATATTACGAGATAATAATCTATTAGTAATATGAGAAATTTTATAATTATTATAATGATAATTAATATAATATAAAAATTGTTATCAAGACTATTATTGTATTTTTAGTTATGCTAGCACTCTTATTATTGTAGACATTTGGTTGTTGAGACTTGTTATTAATTATACCAATGCCGTAGGAAACAACTTTATTAATTTTTCTTCTCAAAAGTTACGGAATTAAAAATTCTAAGAGGCCAGGAGGGTCGGAATTCTAATTTCATAAAGTGAAAGAATTCAAATTTGAAGAAATTGTATTTCGATTAAACCAAAGTAAAAAAAATGTCAGATTTTTTATGTAATCCTCCCAAGTCCCAACCAAACGAGGCATTAGCAATTGGAAATATCCAGCGGTTACTAATAAATTTTTCTTTTAAGCCCAAAAAACCCAGATCCAAAAAAACACGCTTTTCTTCTCCGATCCTTTTCTATCTGTAAATCACTTGCTTGATTCCTTCCTTGCTGGGGAGCTTTCACGGAGCACATCGGAGCCGCGAAGACGACAGCTATATATACACTCGCGCCGAGCGGGGAGTTTCAGCAAAGAGAGTAAAGAGTTTCAGAAATGGCGGATTGGGGGCCAGTTGTGATAGCGGTGGTGCTGTTTGTGCTGTTGAGTCCAGGGCTGCTGTTCCAGCTGCCGGGGCGGGGCCGCGTGGTGGAGTTTGGGAATATGCAGACCAGTGGGCTTTCCATTTTGGTCCACACCATTATCTTCTTCGGCCTCATCACCATCTTCCTCATCGCCATCGGAGTTCACATCTACACCGGCTGATTTATTGATTTCCGTTTTCCGATACCTCAACCACCTCCTCTCCGGCACCTTTTTTTTTTTAATTGATTCCTTGCCTTATTCTCCAAGTACGGTGTATTTAGATTCGTTTTTTTCCAGTTTATGTCGAATTATTAGGATTTGGTTTAGTAATTAGTATGGTTTGTGTGTAAGATTTTGGGCTGGAGGGTGTGTATCTGGGATGTTCTAGTTTGGCCATTAGTGGGAGGGGTTTTCACTTTTCAGTTCTTTAATGAATATTATATTACTGCGTCGCTATCTGCAAATATTGATTTAACAAATATAATATCAGAACTGATTTTTGATTTCTTTATGAGTTAACTCGGTTTTTGAGTATAGTGGTTTTGTCAAGTTTTGTGTTAAATTTTAAATTGATCAATTGTGATTCTTTGATTATCAAATTGTTATTGGTCTAATATAATGATTCTTTTAACTTTTAAAATTTATCAGTTCATGATCTTCTAGGAAGGACATTGGTTAAAATTAATAATTGAAAGATTTTAAGTAGTTAACTTGAATCACGAATTGTAACAGTTAAAAAGTCAAAAATTACAAATAATTAATTTAAAATTTAAAATTAAATGTGATAAAATTATTATACTTAAAGGACTTGCTTGTATTAACTTTTCTTTAAATATTACCAAAAAAGTTGGTAATTATCAAGAAGCTCAAAAGCAAGCAATCAAGCCTAGCCATGTAGCCTTTTCAATTGATTGCCAACAAATGCTTAATCATGTCATTCAATTGATTGCCAACAAATGCTTAATCATGTCAATAGTAGTAAGATTGATGCTTTGATTGATTAATTATATAGAGTATAGTAGTTTTAGTCATTTAATTTTAATATTTTCACTTTTTATTTTAAAGAAAAAAAATCGTAGGTATAAAAGAAATACATTTAAAAAAAAAAAAACGATTTAGAATCTTCTCAAGTCTAAGGGCCACTCTCATGTCAATTTAAGAGTCAAAATGAAGACACTAATGTATTGACTTTTCAATGAAATTCTATACAATTTAGATTTTTTAAAAAGTAGTTTAATGGGTTTCAAATCATTAAAATCGGATAGCAAGATATTTGAGTAAATTTCACCTTTTTTTTAAAAAAAGAAAACACCAAACTTCACTTGGTTGGCGTGAGTTGCCGTGTACTTTCATCCCTTAAAAGATGTCGGGAGTTCAAATCTCTTCTTGTATGAAAAAATCACTTTAGCCAACACTTTATATCCTTTAATAGTCTAAGTATGATACAGACTTAAATGTATCTCCTATAATTAAGGTCTGTTTAGGACATCCCTAATTAAGAGATGGCTACCCTATTCTCTAAAGTAATACATTATAAATGAAAGGAGGAGGATGAGAAAATAACTCCTTGTAATCAGACAAAAAAATGGATTCCGGACTAACAAATGGACAATACCATTTGCTGATCCCTTAACAAAAGATATACCCACATTGTTATAATGCAATAGCATATCCTTAATATCAAATAAAGCAAGATCAAAAGAGGATGATCATTCATTCATTTGTGTTCTTAAGGCTTTGTAATAATCAAAAGAGCATCAGATTTCACATGCACATTGTCCATATTTTGTGACTTCAACCAACTCAATTCTTTCCGATGGTGATAGCCTTTGCTTTCTTGGGCAAATATAACACATTCTATATGATACATTTAGCAACAATGAATTTGCCATCAACAATAGCATCTACATTTAATTTGAGGCAATCCTCTAGAGGTTTCACCCATTTAATTTGTCTCAACAAGATTGGCCCAAATGAAGGAAGGATTACTACCTTTCCTAGCTTCTGAGAAGCACTTGTTTAGAAAATACGGGGTCGTTTACTTCGTTTCTCTGTTTTTCCATTTTCAGTTTTTCTTCTCCATTCTTCCAGTTTTTCATTTCTCTAATTTTTCAATTTTCATTCCCCATTTCTCTAGTTCTTCATTTCTCTAGTTCTTCGTTTCTCTAATTTTAAATACAATCGTCTCTAATAACATTTTTACATTTCTACAACAAGGATAATAATGATAATGATAATAATAATAATAATAATAATAATAATAATAATAATAATAATAATAATAATAATAACGAAAATTGTAATTTATGCCCTCCATAATATGTCAAGTATCAATGTTACCTCTGAATTATTAGTGGTGTAAATATTGTCCCTCAATTATCAAAACGGTACATATAATGTCCTCCTGTAGTGTAAATGTTGCCCCTCATATTTCAAAACGGTACATATATTTTCTCTCCCGTAGTGTAGATGTTGCCCCTCATATTTCAAAACGGTATATATATTTCCTCTCCCATACAGTACGAAAGGGGCAATATATGTACCGTGTTAAAAATTAAGGGGCAACATTTACACCACTAATAATTCAGGGGTGACATTGATAATTGACATATTATGAGGGGCATAAATTATAATTTTATTGAAACTGAAGCAAAGGCGCACAGTAAGATTCGAACCAACGATGTGTACTGTTCACCCGAGTTTTCCTCCATCCTTCCATTTGAAGAAGTCCAAAATTACTTTCTCCAAAAATGTAATGAAGTGGGAAAATGGAGATGGAGTAAGCATTTAGAAGAAGAAATCTAGTAAATAACTTCTTCAATTTTTATTTTTTCCACCTCTTAATTTCTTAATTTTTTTTAAAAATCCTCCATTTTTCCAAGTTGGTAAACGATCCCTACTTTGCCTTAAAAGACTTTGGCACTTGGCTATGAGGGATATTGAAGAATTATCCAGACTTGCGTACTTAGTAAATTAAAGCTAAATTGAATTCAGGTGCATTATAAAAATCCATAACACCTCCTACTTCTTGGGGCTACATAGAGCCTACCAATTCTTCCACTTAATTCCTCTACATTTTTCTTTAGTCCATCTACACTTTCATTTTTGTTACAAACTGTTCGGGTAATCCACATATAACATAACTAGTTTTCAAATTATTACTACCACCGCCATCACCATCATCGCACAGCCACTACCATCACCACGACACAACCACCACCATCACCACTTATTATTATTGTTATTATTGTTAAATAACAAATAATATGTGCATTTTCCAAAAAAAAAAATGAACTAAATAAAAAAATGCAATTTTTAAATTTTTAGCCAAACAAAAAAATGTAGTTTCCTGACATTCAACCAAACACTAGAAGATTAAATTATTTTTTATAAAATGAGCACTTTTCTGGAATTTTTAAAAAATATTTTTCAGGTATCCATACAGAACCTAAGTTAAACTGTACAACAAATTAAACAATTTTTATTTTGATGTGGATAAACTAAAAATTAATAAGTTACTTGAAGTAGCTCTATATTATTAGTTTATTGCATTTAAAAGAAAATCTAGTTTATTTTTTGGTTATTGTAAAATTTATGTATACAAAGTGATTATTTTAGTTTATTTTTTAAAATTAATTTTAATAAACGGATTCACATCTTGAATATCCTAAAACCCCTGTTAAACCCAGTCCTAGCCTTCTAGGGTTCCATTTCTCTGTTGAATCCATCAATGGCTACTCTTAGATACCTCCTCTCCAGAGCCTCATCAAAACCTCTCCCTAACTCCCTCCATTCCAGCACTACAATTTCCCGGCTCTTAACAACTATACACTCTTTCATTTCCCAGCACCATCGGAATTCCAGATGTTTCTCCTCCGCCCAGGATTACAGTCAGGACTCTGATTCCTCTATTGCTGCCGCTTTAAATATCGATCGCCGCATTCCCGCCACTATCATTACCGGATTTCTAGGCTCCGGAAAGGTATTAACAGAATTTTCAGTTACTTCTGTGATTGCGCTTTATGTTTTTGAGGTTTTGACTGTTTTACTTTGTTATAGTTAGAGTAGAATTTGAAAAAGAGGTTGCTTGGTCATTTGATTGTAAGGATAATGAGAATTTTTCAAAAAGTAGTGTGATTATGATCCCCATGAATAATGAAACTTAGCTGTTTTACGTACTTGTGTTAGAAATTTTAAATTCAAAGGTTTTGCTTCTTTTAGTGAATGTTTTTTTATCCTTGTATTTTCTGATGATCAATAAAGGAGATTTTTATTTTATAAATAATATCTCCCTAGTATAACTTACCCGTATTATCTCTTTCGAATTTTATATTTTGTTCTTTCTACTAATTGGACTTGGATTACTTTACAGACCACTCTTTTGAATCATATATTGACAGCTCAGCATGGGAAACGGATTGCTGTGATTGAGAATGAGGTATTTAAGTTCAACCGGACTATAGGATCTGATCTGTTTAGTTCTTCATGATGCTCCATTTTAATTTGGTTCAAAACTCTATTGTGTTCTCCAATAGAATTTTCACTAGTCAGCTCTGGCAGGCACCAAAGGGAAGTTAAATGAGAATGGTGATTAAAAAATTCTTCAGAATAAGGAATAAGTTGATACTGGCCCACTGGATCTTAGATGAACTTATGATCGCATGTGCGTGTGTGTATTCATTATATTTATTTTTCTTTATCCTTTTCGGTTAAAATGTTAAATTTTAGTGCCATGACTTGAAGATGGGTCCTTAAATGTTGCTTTAATCTCAAGTTGTGGGATGTGTCCAGTTTATTTATGTGTTTTGGCATTTTCTCTATATTGTGCTCTTGCCTGCTATAGTTGAAATGACATAATTGAATATTTGAATATACTTCCTGCCTTGTGATATTTCGAATGTCACTTAGCAGATTATGTAAGGTCAGGAAGGCTTTTGCCATTAATCAGAGTTACTTGATTTATAATTGATCTAGTCTGGATAGGGGGATTTGATGGTTCATTCGGTGATAAACATTTATCTCTAATGATGACATCATCATGGTCCATTTTGCCATTAATCAGAGTTACTTGATTTATAATTGATCTAGTCTGGATAGGGGGATTTGATGGTTCATTCGGTGATAAACATTTATCTCTAATGATGACATCATCATGGTCAACAATGGTTCTCTAGCTATACTGTGCATGGCGATCAATGACTGTCTATGCTGCACTGTTATTAATAAGAGTTTCATGATTTATTAATCTATGTAGTTTGGAGAGGTTGATATTGATGGTTCATTAGTTGCTAGTCATTCATCATCTAATGAGGACATTATCATGGTCAATAATGGCTGTCTATGCTGCACTGTGCGTGGTGATCTCGTTAAAATGCTTTTGGAGTTGGTCAAGACTAAGCGAGACAGATTTGATCATATAGTTATTGAGACCACAGGTATCTCTCCTCAGTATGCATCGACTTAAGCACACATGTAGAGTTTTCATCTCTCTATTGTGTGTGCATTTGGGCAAGTGTAAATAAGTTTCCTGCACTTCTCCTTTCCCTTCACTGATGTGCTTTGTGGAACACTAGCTTCTGGCAAATCTATTTGACATGATTACTGTAGATGTTTAACTTGTTATTACAAAATTTATCTCATTATTATCTTCAATATGCATTCCCAAAGTTTTAATATCTATATATTGGTACTTGTTTTGCAGGCCTAGCTAAGCCAGGTCCTGTGATTGAAACATTTTGCTCTGATGAACTGGTTTCAACCCATGTGAAACTTGATGGAGTTGTTACTTTGGTTGACTCCAAACATGCCATGCAGCATTTACTTGAGATCAAACCCAGATTTGTGGTGAACGAGTCTGTGGATCAAGTTGCTTATGCAGATCGAATTATCTTGAACAAGGTAAGGTCCAGCTTCTGGCTATTCTCATTGTTGGAGCAACAGCTTCCTTATTGCAATTTCTAAAATTTTGAGAAGCTCTTTGATAGACACTGGTTGTACATGTTATTTACCTGATTATGTTGACAGATTGATTTGGTTTCTGAGGCTGAGCTGGAGGAATTAACAAAGAAAATTAAGGTACAGTCTTTGGCCTAAGACAGTTCCATCTCTGAATATCAACCTTAACAAGATTTATGAATCTAGAAGTAATTAATGAAAGACACAGGAAAGAAGGTGCTACACACTGGTTCAATAAAAATCCTTTTTTTTTTTTTACCTTCCTTCAGAACCCCCTTTTCTTGTGCTTTGTTACCTGTATGTTGCTGGTATAAAATGTGGAGTAATCAAATTAGGATGTTTTTTTTTTTCCAAGGAGTTACCATTCAATATGTTGGGTTTTCATAGGTTGCATTATTGTAGTTCCTTTACTGTTTTTGTGGGTGATTGTTAATTTCTTCGCAGCATTGTATTGATTTTTATAAATGTGTCAGCATATCAATGGGGTGGCACAAATAAAGAGAGCTAAATTTGGAGTAGTTGATATGGACTTTGTTCTGGGAGTTGGAGGCTATGACCTTGACAGGTAGTCCTACCTGAAAAATACAAATTTCCCTCTTGATTGTGGTTTGCATGCGTGTATGCGTACTATCCAGAAAAGGGTATGCTAGAAATTTTTATCTGATGTTTTATATATGTTTTTGGTTGTAGAATCGATTCAGAAGTTCAGTCAGAAGGCTCTCATTGTGACCATCACCATGAAGATGGCCATGGTAGTTGATTCTGTAATTTTGCTTTAATTCTTTAACTTTGGAGTAATTTGGCTTAAGCATACACTTCTCTTATATTTCTTTGAAGCATTTTCTTTTCTCTCTATTTTGATATATGCAATGGCTGTTTGGTTGAAAAAGTTCTATGATTTTACCCAAATGCAGGATCCTTTTATTTTGGGTGCATCTGATTGACTGATCCTTTTCCTCTTTACTAGATTATTTTTTATTTTTTATTTTTTATTTTTTATTTTTTTTGTTTTTTGTTTTTTTTGTTTTTGTTTTTAGCTCAAGGCCTCTTTACTGGAGCATTAATGGTATGTATTTGTTTTGGGCAGGACAGCACAAGCATGATCATGTACATGATTCAGCTGTCACCAGCGTCAGTATTGTTTCTGATGGAACCTTAGATTTAGATGAGGTAATTTTCTATGTTAATTATGCTGTGTACGAACTATACTTAAACTCATTGTGAATGAATGTAATATCATCCTGCGTGGCACACAGGTTGATGATTGGCTTGAAAGACTTGTAGAGGAAAAAGGCGATGACCTATACAGAATGAAAGGTGTTTTATCTGTGAGCGGTTCTGAAGAACGCTATGTATTTCAGGTACTTAAGTCATGCCGGATTGTTTGCTTGATTTAACAATCCTACAAGTGTACCCGTGCATATTGTGTTCTAATTCCCTGTTTATTTTAGGGTGTACACTCTGTTTTAGATGGCTGCCCAGGCAAGACATGGGGCCCAGATGAGAAACGAATAAACAAGCTTGTGTTTATAGGCAGGAATCTCGATGAAACTGCACTGAGAAAAGGTTTCAAAGGCTGTTTAGTGTGAACACAGGCTGTCAGGTATTATTCTCACGAAATCTATTTTCGGTTGATATGTTCCAACTGTGGAAAGATTTCATGCTGAAGATTCAGTGCATTTTGGTTTCGAGTTTTACCCTCTTGCCTTCCTGTATACAAAGAATTCAGTGGGGAAAGATGCACTTGTAGCCCTGATTTAGTCGTTTTTTAGTCATCCCCACTTAGAAGCCCCTCACTGAATTGTAGATGTGTAGGTATACCATACCTATAAAGTCTTTGTAGTACGTAGCCTGTGGCATTTTCTGTTTGGTTTCCATTTCAATGCTATAAACATTAAGCAGCCACAAATTGTAAGTTTTTATTCCTAAAAACAAGAAAAAACATCGAAGTTTGATAGACTCACATACAAGTCTTCTAGCTAGTCATTGACTTTAAAAAAACAGTTGCACACTTTTTAATTTATGTAAAATGTCTTTAAATATAGTGAATGAAAAATATATAGAATAATTATAAAAAAAATTACTAACTAAAAATTAAACAAATCAATAAATTCGAGGCTTATGATGAAGGGCACATCAGTTTAGTTTTTATTGAATGCAATGCAAATAGTGGTACAAGATTATTATTACAATATATATAGTTTACTTTTCAACAAGCATATATTATATTGTTTTTTTGAAAACAACATATATTATATTATAGAGATGAGAATAAGTGATGAACATTAATTATAGCTAGACATAGCGTTTCAAGTATTGATGAATGCGAGTATACTGAACTTCTGGATAGAGTTGAGAAGCTTCTTCCGCATCCTCTCCAATGTCAAAGTTGGTTAAACAACTCTCATAGAAAATGTGGTAGTAATGTGCCACTCCTACTTGATTAGCATAGTCCATATCTGCATATACAATTTTAGTTATTATTTTTTTAACATGTGATTAAAAATCTAAAGACTATTTTTGCATATTCGAAACAATTATTAGAGACCAAATTTACTATTTAATCCTAACTTATATTAGGTAGTACAAAAATAACATGTTTATTTATATTACCTTTCATGGAAGCCAAGAATTCATCCGCAGAAAGGGAGATTTTCTCCAGCTGTTTTCCATTGAGTTTTTCCCATGTAGCAACCAACTCCCTTTGAGTAAGGATGTTTTCATGTGGCCTTAGGTATATTGTCTTGTTTAAGGCCCGGGGATCATCTATAGTCTTGATTGTGTATGTTGCAATATCATCTTCATCCATGTATACCACTGCATATATGCATAGTATAGCATTATATTAGAAGCAAGGTTGAAGTAGGCACTAGGCACTAGTCGGGCGGTGCCTAGCGCTTAGGCGGGCACCAAATTTTTTTTTTAAAATAGTGACAGATTTGTAGTTTGACAATTTTAATGAGCCTGTTTTCAATATTCAATCAAATAAAACCTCCAAATAAATGAAGTAATGATAATTTATAAGTCATAACATCATAATAATATTAAAATTAATAATTAATGAAAGACGAAATCGGACGAAATCGAACGAAATTAGTCAAAATCGGACTCAGTCGATTTTGGCCGAGTATAGGCCAAAACGGCAAGGATGGGTGCCGCCTAGGCGGCCGAGTTTTGCAACCATGATTAGAAGTAAAATTTGTCTAGAATAGGGGTGTAAACGAGTCGAGTCGAGCTCGTTAAGAAAGGCTTGGCTCGAGCTCGATAATTGATGCTCGAGCTCCTCGATCTTGAGCTCAACTTTGGGCTCGATGGGAAACTGCGTAGCTTCGTCTAGTCTCGACTAGTCGACTATCGGGCAGCACTGCAGCAGCTCCGTTAGTTCGACATCGGCAAAGGTGGAGACCGGAGACAAGGGTCGTCGGCCGGCAATCTTCCAGTGTTTCCATATCTCGTCTCCATGTCGTTGTCGTCGACAGTCTTCCAGACTCCAGAGTTAGGGCTTGGGGGGAATGGGGGAAGGAGTGCGGGGCTGCGGGGCTGCGAGAGTACTGGAGTAGGGAAAGCCTTAGAAGGTAGTAAAATTTCAATAATAATAATAATAATAATAATAATAATAATAATAATAATAATAATAATAATATTACTATTATTATTATTATTATTATTATTATTATTATTATTATTATTATTATTATTATTATAAGGCTCGAGCTCGATAAGTAAACGAGCCTCTCGAGTTCGGCTCGAGCTCAATTTTGACCGAGCTTGAGCCGAGCTTACACCCCTAGTCTAGAATGATATATTATATAATATTTTCAAAAGATAATATTCTTTTTTTTTTTTTTTTTTGGTATATATAATATTCTTTGTAGAGTTTTTTCACTTTGATTTGGTTATTCATTTATAATACTCTTCCCGCCCTATTTTATTTGTCCGGTTCAGTTGAACTTTGATTTGGTTATTCATTTGATTGATATTTGGTTTTTAATGGACCAAATCTGTCCACACGGATTCGTGGGAAGGGGTAGACTCACTTGAACATAGAATTACATTCATGTAAAAACAGGGGCTGGATTGTTGGATTTTGGATATCTATGGTTGTAATTAGTTTTTATGTTTTTGTGTGTTGTGTCCGCTTGTGTGCACTGTCGTTCATGGACGTGTTCACGTTGGTCCAAATACTGTGGATTCACACATACATACTACGGATACAGTCGTGTCCACAGGTGTGTGCACAATATATGTCCACATATTTGTATTTTAAGGATGTTTGCATGTGAATGCAACTCTCTATATATATAGAAAATGAGAAGGGATTGAATTGAAGTATGTATAGTAGTTGGAGTAGTATACCTTTGGCATTGCCATCTCCATAGATGTAAACTTTGTGTTTTGGAGGAAGAACGGTGCCAAGTTGAGAGAGATTGGGACAAGAATAGCCAGCAAAGAAATTAGCAGAAATGTAAGTGTGGGGAATATTAGCTTCTTCTATTGCCTTTCTGATCTCCATCTTCTCATCAAATGTAACCCTTCCTGGTTCAAGTGCATGCCCCATTCTTGCAGGATCCATGCCGAATTCCGATGGAAGGAAACGCTACAAATTAAAATATATATTTATTCACTTTAATTTTAAGCAATGCCCACACTACCTATACATACATGATACATGACTTCTCAGTTTAATTTCACCCTGCATGCATACTTGCATTTTACTTTATACATCCTCACATATATGACCTACCGATCATGATTTATGATTATTGAAGGCCGCCATAAGTAATTCTTTTCTTTATTATAGTTTTGAATTGGCTCTACATACATCTAGTGAGCAAATTATACCATTTATTGGTCCACATTGTATTGTAGACCCTCATTCAAAATGACATTCAAATTATGTGTTTGCAGTTAACAAATTATGTATTTACAAATAAATTGAAGGTATATACAGAACATATAATATGTTAACAACAGAAACATAATAATATGTTAATTACATGCACATAATATGCGATTAACTTATTATGTGTCTATTGTTAATATATTATGTGTATATGGTTAACATATTATGTGCGTGTAGTTAACCAATTATGCGTTTTCGCTTTAATTACAAACACATAATGTATTAACTGAAAGACATGCCAAGTAGCTCGTAGCTGAATGACACCTCTTATGACTTTTCTAAATGGGAGGTCATAGGTTTGCCCCCAATGAAAATACTACATTTCGGAGTTCGTAATGCAAGATGAACCATGATCCCTTAATGTTATTATTTATTTATTTATTTTTACATACACACGTACAATTGACCAAACTTGGCACACTAATGGGGTGTATTTATCATGGCTTTTATTGACTTTTAAAATGACACACTTTAATAAACCTTCAATGACTTTAAACAATCAAACTTTTGTAAACTTTATAAGAGTTTATAAAAGTCTATGTTAATTCATATATACATTTATTAACTTTAATGAGTTTTTTTTTTTTTTAAATTTTAAAACGTCTACAAAAGTCATTAAAATTTTAAATTGAACACATCTTTAAAAATATTTTACAGTAAACAAATTGTCTAAATAAAACATTCAAAATATAATTACGAGTTGTATACAATAAAAATTTTAAATAAAATATTATGAATAATATAAAAATTGAACAGAATATATTATTACTAACAACGAGAAAAAAAAATGTTATTTGTAGTAACAATTTCAGGCTGCGAACAACAATTTATTGTAAAAAAAAAAAATTATATTACAAATATAAACATAAAATGAAAAATTAAAATATACAAGTATTTATGAATATTATGAAACCTATATTAAATTTTGATGGAGATAGATGAAAAAATTGCTATGTTCAAATCATATATCTATTTTGATGGAGATAGATGAAAAAATTGCTATGTTCAAATCATATATCTAGGAGAAAAAGTTTAATTTAGAAGTTTGTGGCATGAGGGATGAATTTCAACTATACTTATAATTAGTAAAAAAAAATATCTACAAAATTCGTAGTCGGATAGATTTTGTAAAAGTCAATATTTTTTTTTTTTTCAATACCAATATACTTAAGACTTTTAAGTTTGAATTGAATACCCATTCCCTTCTCTTTAAAAGTTAAAATCCAATACAAATAAACTTTTTAAAAATTTATATGGAATACTAGACTTTTAAATTACATACTTACAAGTTTTTATAAGTCCATACAAATCTAGATTAAATACCCCTTGCTTAACGTTGATATATATAGATGTTTACTTGTTGTGTTACCTCTAGGCTATAGCCACATCAAGCCTGTTTCCCTTTAGCTCATTTATGTTCAAACTTTGTGTTATTGTGAATCATATTCAGATTATGTACTTGAGATTAACATATTAAAATATATAATATGATGATAAATATACATACTATACATAATCTGCATCAAGATCCACAAAACCCATAGCAAACATTGATCTACAACAATATAATTTGTCCAAAAGAGTTAAACTATATTAAAAGATATATAATACAATCAATACTAGTTTCACACGTATCATCATCATGTCTTTATGTACTTCTCCATTTTTTGTGGGATTATATTCTTAACCACTTGCCAAACATTTTGTATTCAAATTGACACCTTTTATGTCTCTTATTGAGTGATGGTGTATTGACTCTTTGGATTATAATTGATTGAGAATTTATTGCTTTTATATATGCAGTATTCTTATAATAACTGCTTTTACGTCTATGTAAATTCAATTCAGTTTAATGAAAAAAAAAAAGAGTGAATAATATAGTGATAAATGAGTAAATATCAATTTTGGTTTTACGAGTATTAGCAAAATAACAGTTTTGGTCTATATATTTAATTCTTATCAATTTTTATCTACGATTTTAGTATCAATTTTCATCCACAACTATTGTTTTAGTGCCAAAATTCGTCACCCTTTCATTTAAGACATGCCGAAATATAAAATCATTAGAATATTTTTGTCCTTTTCAAATTAAGATTCTTAGTACTAAAAAAAATATCAATTTAAGCATGAATAAATGGATTTTATGTCCTAAGATTGATCCCAATTCGCAGTTCTCCTCCTCAAATTAAGGTAGGATGAGGAAGAGAACTGTGAATTAGGATCGCTCTTAGAGCTTAAATCTCTTTATTCATGCTCAAATTAGGATCTTAAGTTGAAAAGGACTGAAATATTTTTAAAAATTTTAAATTTCGACATGTCTTAAATGAGAGAGTGATGAATTTTAACACTAACACAATAATCATAGATGAAAATTGATAGGAATTAAACATATGGATGAGAACTGTCATTTTGCTAGTACCATGGTTGCAGTAGGCGCTAGTCGGGCGCCCGGACAGCGCCTAGGCGGAATCTAGGCGGGCGCCAAAAAAACAGTGGTAGACTTGCAGTTTGACAATTTTAATGAGATTGTTTTCAACATTTAATCAAATAACACATCCAAATAAATGAATTAATGGTAATTCATAAGTCATAACATCAAAACAATGATTTTAAAAAAAAACATTAAAACAATATTAAAAATTAAAAATACTCAAATATGAAATACTCAAATACTTCAATCTTTTAAAAATTCAAAGTATCAAACTAGTCTACGAGTGTATATATATCATATTATATACGCACACACATATATATAATAAAAAAAAATAGGTCAAGCCGATCAGGTTAACTCGACCGAAATCGACGAGTTAACTTGATTAACTTATACGCTAGGTGGCCAAATCGGCCGAGTTAGGCGCTAGGCAGCCGGTAACCTAGGCGGGCGTTTAGGGGAAAATCGCCACGGTCAGAGGTGCCTATCGCCTAGGCGGGCGCCTAGACCGATTTTTACAACCCTGGCTAGTACTCTTAGGGCCAAAATTGATATTTGCTGAATGGGGTAAATAGTAACCTTAATATTGCCGGCTTCTTTGATAGCCTCAACAAGCTTTCGCTGCAGGAGAATGTTGTGGCTGCGGATATGCGCGCCCGACATGGTACATATAACCACGTCCACTTCCTTCACGGCGTCCACCAGGCTGCGGTGGTCGTCAAACGACGCCTCCACCAGCCTCGCCCCTTGCTCCTTAAACGACAACAACATTTGGAACTTGTCGATGTCCAGACCGATTTCACGGCGCAACAGCACGTGGGTTATATGCCCTTGGGCTAGGCTGGCCTTCACTATTCTCCTCCCAATGTACCCCGTGCCACCCACAACAAGAACCTTACTCTTTCCCATCTCATCTGGGATGCTTACCTGCAATATAATATAATTAATGCCTCTAATTTGCCTTAGCTTATGTGGGTTTCAAAACTATAATAACCATCCAATCTTTATATAGAGTTTCGTCATCTGAGGTTAGTTCTAAACGATGTCGTTTTGATATTAAAAAAAAAAAAAATTTCTTGCGCATGTGTTAGAATATTGAAGATTTTGGGGGTAAGATAATGTATTGTATAAGTTAGAGGGAAAATGGTCAAATAGGCCCTCGAACTTTAGCTTAAAAGTTAATTAGGCCCTTAAACTTTTTAAATGTGCAATTACACCCATCAACAATTCATTTAAGTGCAATGAGGCCCAGAAACAAATTAATGACCTGCTATCACAGGTCATTAAGGTTCAGGCCACCTTCTGGCGAATTTTCCGGCAAAAAAAAAAAGACCGGTGAAATTTCTGATAAAAAAAGTGACCGACGAAATTTTCGACAAATCTGAGTCGGTTGCTGGTCACTTTTTTTGCTAGAAAATTCGCCGGAAGGTGGCTGAACCCTAATGACCTGTGATAGCAGGTCATTAACTTGTTTTTGGGTTTCATTGCACCTAAATGAATTGTTGATGGGTGTAATTGCACCTTTAAAAAGTTTAGGGTCAAATTGACTTTTAAGCTAAAGTTCGAGGGCCTATTTGACCCTTTTCCCTAAGTTAGAATATTGTGTTTTATATGTGTTAGATTAATAATGAAATTTCTAGGGTAAGATAATGTATTTTATGAGTTAGAAAATTGTATTTTATGAGTTAGCATAATGTATAATACATTTTGTGTTAGAATAATGAAATTTCTGAGGTAAGATAATGTATTTTATAAGTTAGAATAGTGTACTTTATATGTTACAATAATATATTTTATGAATTAATAATGTACTTTATGTATTTTTAAGCTGTAGTTTCACAGTTGTGTAAATCATGATCCACGCAATAACGAGGGGTTGGCTGGTTAGAACAAATTAGTACCAAGTTGCCCTATGAATTGAAGTTTGTGATTGCACTGCTTTAAAGTTTTCTTTTTCATTTTTATTTTAAATAATACTATTCTTCTCCCATTTCATATTATATTTATTTTCAACATGATAATAATTTTTTTTTTTTGGTCTATTAGTTACCTTGAATTGGCACCTCACCTAAGATTAAAAAAATAAATATACTTACTAATTAACCATAAAAGAAATTCACCAAATCTTGCTACATAATTAAAGAGGTAAAAATTATGAGGCAAAAATCAAGTTGGAAAATATATTGAAAGTTAATTATAATTACAGCATCTCCAAGGTACCGGTAAGACGGCAAAAAATAGTTGCAAAACACCATACCAACAAATTTCACCTCTTCAAGTGGGAGCATATTTGCAGCAAAACGCCATATTATTTGGCGTTGATGAACTGTATGGCGCGGCACTGTTCATTCGCGACAAATGTGAACCGGGAAGAAATAGGTCATTTTGTCGTTACTTGTTTTTATAATTTCAAATGTATCATTTATTTATTTTATATGTATTTTTTATGTTGTTAAATATTTATATTTAAAATTTGTATTATTAAATATAATTATACCATTTTAAAGATCTCATTGAAATGATTGAAAAAGACTTGAATATATGTTAATTAAAATTTCAAATACATCAAACATAACTAGAAAATAATAAAAAATAAAATTCATACGACATAATATTAATATTAGAAAATACAACACAATTTTTAAAAATAAAATAAAATAAATAATTTCCTAGTCCACTGCCACTTCCTCCCAAATTATCAAAATATTTATCAAATTTATGATTTGATTAACTAAATGTTTTATTTGATATCTTTCAGTTCTTTCTAATAATTAAATGTACTAGATGTTTTATGCTATATTATAATGGTGGAATAAATTAAATTTTTTAAAATATTGTTAAATTTAATTTTTTAAATAATTAATGTTATGAAAAAAATTAATGTTAATAAAAATTATTATTTACATTTATATTCTATATTAAACTAATTAAGTTTGAACTAATTAAATTATATTAAACTAATTAAATTTGAACTAACAATTGAAAATCAAATTATTTTAGTACGTGTAGAAATTTGCTGTTTTGGTATAAATGTGTTGGAGATGAATAAAATTTAGTGTAAGAATATGTTGAGAATATTTCTTTGATGTGATATTTGCTAAAAAAATTGATATTTTGATGTAATGTGGGTTAGAGATGGCTTTATACCGATGAATAAAAATATTTTATTTTGAATAATGTAAATATAATGATATGAACATAGGACACGTTTTTAGCAAAGAAAGAGTATTTTAGAAGGAAGATAAACTAATAAGTGATTCGGAAAAAAGCTAATACATTATTAAATTCTTGAAAAATAAACCGATGATATACGTACTGCCATTAAATTGTAATATTATTAGATGACGGTCAACCTAGCATATTGATTTCAGTAAATTTTATTGTGGACTACTGGTTTGGAGAAGATATTTTTAAGTATTTTAATTTTATTTTTTACACTGATTTCATTATAGTAATGCTGAAGTATCATTTTATTATATTTCAGGTAGGTCTTTGTTATACATTTTCATTTTATACACACAATAGATTCATTATAACAACATAAAAGTATCATTTTTTATTTCGAAACACATCCATTTAACTATATACATATCTGTATGTGCTCTGCTATTCAGTTTCATTTTATACATAAAATCAATTCATTATAGCATCACTAAAGTTTCATTTTAATTTCACTACTACAAATTGTTTGACAATAATATATATATATATATATATATATATATATATATATATATATATATATATATATATATATATATAGATATAGAAAAGCGCTCATATGTGGTCATGTCATTAGGTGTGGTCGTGTGGTCGTATCTGTGTCGTTGAATCAGTTTAATCTAACGGCAGTGGTAATTCTGAGAATTTTCGCGCGTTTTGGTAAGTGGGGGTGTTGTGGTAATTACAGTGGCCATTTATAGCGGGCGGGTTCCAGAATACACCAACAGTGTTGACAACATACACCAATAGTGTAATAAAACACACCACAGTGAAACACACCAATGGTGTATTCCCGTGTTATGGTAATTACAATGGCCATTTATAGCGGTCGGCTTCCAGAATACACCAACAGTGTTGACAACATACACCAATAATGTAATAAAATACACAACAATGTGATTTCCTCTATACCGGTGTTTTATGACGAGTTTACCCTTGCAGTTCGCTGGGTAGGAGAATGTGCGCGAAATACTGAAAAAATCTTGATTAATATGATTCATTGGATCTATCTAATCTAATGGCCTATAATTGACCATATGACCACACCTAACAACATGACCACATGTGATCACTCCTCTATATATATATATATATATATATATATATATATATATATATATATATATATATATATATATATATATCGGTTTTACTATCTGATTTCATTTTATACATATAAAGAGATTCTTTATAGCAAAGTTAAAATATTATTGTAATTTATTACACATTTATTTAATAATATACATATTTAAATAATCTATTTTATCATGATGCACATAAGTGTATGATTCATCGAATAATGATTGATTGATTTGTTGAGCATTTTTGTCAAGGTTACTACAGTCAAACAATTTGTCAAGCACTGTTTTCAACTTTGGCTACGACAAAAATAATCAATTCAGTCGCCGTCAAAGATTTTTGTTTATTTATTTTATTTTCTGGTATGGTGAGATCACCATTTGTCATTGATGACATCTACCCGGCATGGCCGACAATATAAAGAACAAGAAAGTTTTTTTTTTTTTTTTTTTTTTTTTTTTTTTTTTTTGTCTTTTAATTTTTTTAAAATATATAAACTTAGGGTGTTTGGTTGGAATATAGGAATTGAAATTGAATTTAGAATTCAATAATTAGTAACAATAATGTGTTTTAAGAAAAGTAGAACAAATGTTTAGTAATAAATAAGAATTGAAATTAAAATAAATAAATATTTAAATATTATATATATTAAAATTTTATATTTAATGGTAGTATTTTCTTTTTAAAACTTTTTTTAAAAATAATATTTAGGTGATTCTAATTTTGTTAGATTAATTCTAAACTTAAGGGTTTGATTTGGTTTATTTTTATTAGCTAATTTTCCCCCATTTTTTCTTCCTTGCAATGACCATTTTACCCTCATAAAAAACAATTCGAATCAAATTACATTTTTTCGGTAAAAATTGGCCGACAGGACCAAATCTGCTAACAATTGCATAGTTAAAGGACTAAATTGAGAGTTTTGAAAGTCAAGTACTCAAATTACCAACACCCCAATAGTCACGTGACCAAAAATGTAATTTGTTCTATAATATAATATAATATATTATATTATTATACATAAAAATTATCAAAAGTTAAATAGTATAGTTGGTTTTTTTTTTTTTTTTTTTTTTTTTTAAATGAAAGGTCTAGGGATTGAACATTGCTCATTACATTATTTATTACAATATGTAATACACCTTATATTTATATTTACATTATTTGTTACAATTTGTAATACACCTTATATTTATTGTGATTTGTGAGATTTATTCATAATTCTAATTGTATATTAATTTTGAAATTTATAATGTGTTACATGTGATAAGAATGATTTAAAGTAATTAATTAATTGATACGAAATATATATGTTTTGTAGTTCAATTATAAAAAATATTTTAAAAGAAAAAAATTTACTTTTTATGAACTACTAGTTAATATAAAAGTTCCAAATGCGCATCATCTTATTTAAATATTCTAAAAATACTTATATTTTATCTAATTGAAATAAAAAGTATTTATGAATATCATATTAATAGTGTGATATACAATTTATTTCAACCATTTTATGTTTCACTATAAATATTTTTATTTTTCACTCTCACAAAACGAAATTTCTAAATTCGTCCCTACTAAACACACAGAATCCGGTTTCTAGAACCTTAGGAAAAGCAGGTGACTTGCAAAGTTGTGCATATTATCAAACGATAGAATTCTTCCCTTGTGGTTTATTTTTTGTCGTCCTTGTGGTAGGTAATAAATGCAAGAATGTGT